ATGTTTTCTGACTAACAGAGATCTCAAACCCTTGGTGTACCAGAATTTATACTGAAGGTATAAATATACTGAGGGTATAAACAAGCAGAACATTGCCTTGTAATAAGTGAATTAGTATTCACGAATTCTCCATGAGGGAGAATGAACCATGTGATAACAGATGCCAGGTAACTTAAAGCAACATTGCTTGTTTATATACCGTTTCTCCAACAATACGGCCTCCCCCAATAGGAAGTCCCAGCATGTTTTATAAGCATGAAATTAAGCCCCTCCCCCCAAAGGCCTATATTAAAACATGCAAAATGGGGGGGGATGGCGGGGGGGGGGGGCCTTGCTGTTAGGAAGTACTTTTGTTGCACACCCGGATATGGTGCTGCCTGCATTGACCCTAATACAAAGTGCCCCACCAACGCCCAGGTCAACATCCAAGCTGTCGCCGCCCGCCCTAAGATGCAAGGGGGGGAATTAAGTCACCCCGCTTTCCCGGGGCTCCAAAAAAAATAAGACCCGGCCTTATTATATGAGAAACATGGTATATTTCATTTTATTAAAAGATAGCTTTAAAAAATAAATCAAATAATGCTGTGTGAATATAAAATTATTCTAAAAACTGATGGGCAAGCTCCAGCAAGTGTTGAATCGGTATTTTCTGTCTGTTGTATAGAAATCAAAGATGAGGGTATACCAAGGGTTTTAAAACTGCAAAAAGCTTGGCTATTTTATATGCTAAACTTCATGCTATTCAACTACATCAGGATTTAATACCAGAGGTCTACGGCTTCATAGATCTTTAAACAATTCACAAACCTTCTGCGCAGGGTACGACTATCAATGCTCGGTCAACGAATACAGTATTTGTCAGGTGCTGAGCCATAACTGCCGAGTCAGGTTCTTGGAACTTTATAAAACACACACGGGAAGAAACAGGCAAAGGAGAGTCACTGAAAAAGAAAAACAGAATACGAACATCAGATGTAACATCAACAAAAATTAAGGTTTTATTTGACTTATGGAAGTACTGTATATACAGAAGTATTGGGCACGGACCCTACAGTTTTTCCAAAAATTCTTACTGTTTTTTATGTTATAGAACAGGGAAAATTATTAAAGACTTGTCTGGAGAAGAATCATATTTAGACTTAATTTCAATTAAACTTAAATAATTCTAAATAATATTAATATACACCTGCCCTTTGAAATTTATGAAGAGAGAGTAACCCTATAATGGTTCACTCAGCCATATACTTTTACTGAAAACTGGGAAGATGTAATCAACATTTTTGATGGGATGTCACAGGCAATAATTTGAATTTTTCTTCATTGAAAAAGAAATCTTCCCTCAGGCAACATGTCTTAAAGAAATATGTGAAAAGTGTGTCATATACACTTCATATGCATGATGGTGAGTATTTTACTTTTCCAGTCACAAAGAAGTTCAGGGCTAAACTGTGGGGTTATGTTTTTTGCTGCATTTAGCCTGGCTAGGGAATGGCTACAGGAAAACAAGCTAGAGAGCACCAAGAATCCAATGGTTTAGCATTGCACCAAATAAAATATTAAGTGAGGTAGCATGATTAGTGTTGGATTAGAGTTCAGAAGAACCAGATGCTAATTTACCATTAGCCACAGAAGCTCACCAGGCTCTTTGGGTTACACACACTCTCAGTCAATCTACCACTCAGATTCTTTTTCCGGAGAAAAATAGGACAGAATATTATATGAACTGTCTTAAATTGCTGAACTAAAGAAGAGCTATAAATCAAATAAATAAACAATACAGATCTGTAGCTATATCCATACAGTAGATACCCAGACAGAACTATGTCACTTATGGTGAAAACTCAACAACCAATCCTCTTCCAGAGAAAATTGTTTTACTTCCCAACTTCTTGTTTCAGGGTAGCTAGAATAATTTAACATTATATTGGACCAAGTTATGCTTTAAGTACTGATGCTATGGAGATATTTTCTGAAATGTAACCCTGAAACCCTGTAATAGTTGGGTAGCTTCCATATTTCAATAAGATCCCATAATTACAATTTGCAGGGCGTCTTTCATGCAGAAAATCTGAATATTAAGAAGGGACTTCTTTCCTGTTGTGTTGAAAAAAAGATGTGGAAGCATCTTTTTTCCTTACCTGGACCTCCCCAAACTATGCTTCAGCATAAATTCCAAAGTATGCTATACTGTACCGGGGATCACGGTAGTCTCTTTCCCACAGATCTAAAGGCCACCAGATTGTTAACAGCCATTCTAGAATATGCTTTTGGATTACAGTATATGGGACACAGGCCAAGCCTGCTCTGTTCTCTTAGTGCCAGGAGTAAATGGGGTCAAGTTCTTGGAGCTTTACTGAAGGCCAGGGTCTTCCTCTCTCCAATGGAAGAAGGAAGGCAAGGAAGATGGGTGAGGGCTATGGCAGAGGTCATGCAGGGACATGCTTGGCTCAGGCAAGAAGAGACAAGTATCAAGAAAATTGGGGAGTGGTTGGGCTAGTAGATTATGTTGCCTTGGCATCTACTTGAGATGCAGTATCTTGCTTCCTCACCCGAACCAAAAAAAATAATAATTTTTTTTTTAGATACATTATTTCACTCTTCTCTGGCTAACTGGAACAGTTCAGCATTACTTCTACTATAGTAACCTACTACAATGGTGCCCTCTCTGATGAGCTTGGTTGTTGTTTTCTTGCAGATGTTTTATTTACCCAAATAGGTTAACATCATCAGTGCTAAGCTTTCAACCCTGAACTAGAAATATTCTCCTTTATTGTCACTACAGATAGTCCTCGACCACAACTGAGCCCAAAATTTCTGTTGTTAAGGGAGACCTTTGTTAAGTGAATTTCATCCCATTTTACCACCTTTCTTGCCACGGTTAAGTCAATTGCTGCAGTTGATAAGTTAATATAAGTTAATAACCTGGTTAAGTGAATCTGGTTACCCCATTGACCTCGCTTCTCAGAAGGTCTCAAAAAATGATCACATGACCTTGGGACACTGCAATGGTCATAAATATGAACCAGTTGCCAAGCATCTGAATGTTGATCACATGATCATGGGGAATGCTACACTCTGAAAAGCAATCATGTCACTTTCTTCAGTGTGGTTGCAACTTAGAATGGTCACTAAATAAACTGTTGTAAGTTGAGGACTGCCTATATAGTAATCTGTTCTGGATTCATCATAAAACTATGTTCCTGTTTCACCCCCCCCCCCAAAAAAGCTCTCTTTTCAGGCACCACAACCACAAATTCCCAAACATCCTCCCAACAAAGAAAGATATATGACCAGGAGCATTTTTCTCCACTTTGGTTACTCTTGTTGGGATTCTTTATCAATTCAAAATTCAAATCATGGGTTATCATTCTGTCTAGTTTGAAATCAACAAAATTGGCTTATCCTTAAGCCCCAAACGCTCCTCGAAATATAACATAGACACTTCAAACTTTGTACCTGAAAATTACAAAATACACTCGTATATACTGTACACTTAATACATTTAACCTGAAAATTACAAAAAAAAAAAAAACCAACCCAACCCTACAAGTGCTATTATGGCGGCAAAAAATATATACATATTAAAAAATATCAACTTTGTGTTATATTTAATCAGCCACAGGAAACAACGACCAGGATTAGACCACCCATCTTAGCTCTTCCTCCTCTTCCAAGGAGGAATTCGTTTGTTTCACGCAATACAACCCTTTTCCTAAAACCGATCCGCCTCACAACGTGGCTCTCCCACGGAAGCTGGCAGTTGAAAATCGCCTACACCCCCCCCACTCCCAATCCACAAATAAAGGCGGTGTTCAAAACCGTCCCTCAGCGCCCCCTCCGCCCGGCCGTCCCTTTTCCGCCTCCCGCCTTTCCTCCCTTCCCAGGTTGCGAAAGCAGACGAGGGCGGCGAGCCAAAGAAAGGCAGCCCCAGCGCCGGAAACTCCAAGATGGAGCGGATGGCAGAGCGAGGGAGCGACCGCGTGATCCGCTTTTAGCTTTCGGAAGCGGCAACCACCGCCGCAAGCAGCCAAGCTCGTCGATTCCTGCCCTGTCCTGCGGCCCTCATCCTCGCCCGGTCCCACCCCGGCCGATCAAGGGCCTAATAATAATAATACTCGAGCGATGGTTTCGCGGAGGCCGCGGCCTTTAAAAACTCGACCATCCGTCCCTCTCTTTCTCTTTCTCGAAACGGAACTTACTTGGGGGGGAAGAGGCGCAATTCTTCGATCTTGCCCAGGAAGCCGAAGAGAGTCCGCATCTGTTCCGAGCTGGCACTCGGGGAGACGTTGGTGACCTGAATCACATCGGTGCCGCTGCTTGAAGCCATCGCGCTGCTTCCTGCTCCGGCACTTACAAACGCATCGAGGGGTGACGTGTTAAGGGCCCTGGGGAATCGGGAGACGCCTCCTTCGTATGTCCCTCGGCGCTTCCCGTCGCTTTAATCGCAAGGGAGGGGGGAAAAAAAGGCCCTCGCGCGCGGAGTAACGGCCACCAAACGATCGTTCCGCTGCCAGACTCCCTGGGCTGCAATATCCCAAGCTCCTCAGCGCCTCTCTCCGAACGACGCAAGAACCTCTCGGTCTGCGCCTGCTCACAACCTCCGGGTGAAACGGGACACGTGTGCGCATGCCCACTTGAGATGCCTTGCGCGCATGTGCAGGCGGCGCTAAAGGCCTTTTCCTATTTCCGTAGCTGTTCGTGGTTGGGATTGATGCTTAAGTCCCGAAGGTGGTGTTTTTTTTTCCAAGAAGTAACTGGACTTTCTGTTTTTTCTTTGAAGACGTTTTGCTTCTCATCCAAGAAGCTTTTTCAATTCTGACTTGATGATGGGGAATTTCGATCAGAGCTGAAGAAGCTTCTTGGATGAGAAGCGAAACGTCTTCAAAGAAAAAAACAGAAAATCCAGTTGTCTCTTGGGGGAAAAAAAAAGCACTTTCAGGACTACCATGACCTGGATAAATAGAATCTCTATTTTTAATTCTGAGCGATATGAGCGTATCAGTTTCCATTTGAATCGAAGCGATTGATAAATTGCATGCATAAATCTGTCTTATTAACCTCTCCACATTGTAATGAAACAGTGCTGACAGGGGCTCTACTTCTTGAGTGATTTAGCTGATGCATATACATGAGGGGTCCTTGATGCTAGTGCATCACTAGTACTGATGGTGTTGCCTAATTTGGGTAAGGAAATGTCTGAGAAAACCAAGCTCAGAGCACCAAGGATCCCTCATTTCAACCCTGAGCTACAAATATTCTCCTTTATTGATGTATAGCAAGGCTCTTCAAACTTGACAGCTTTAAGACTTGTGGACTTCAACTCCCATAATTCCTCCTCCAAGGAGCTCAGGAATTATGGCAGTTGAAGTCCACAAGTCTTAAAACTTGCCAAGTTTGAAGATCCTTGATGTATATAGCATGTTGAATCTCCACCGCAGGAGAAGGCCAAAGCTCAGGGAGTGGAACTAAGTTCCCCTTTTCAAACAGAAAGGAGTCTTTCGGCCATTAACCTAATTAAATGTGCAGTTTCTAAGACTGCAGAAATTATTATTTCTAAACAACCCATCTTTTAAAGAGGGGCTGCGGTATGATTTATTCATTAGGTCACTGTTAAAAATGCTGTTTCTTTTGTAATTTTATGTAAAATACTTGGCAAAGTTTTTCTATTAATTTTCTATTATGAAATTTTCACATGTTTCATTGTAAAATTTGACAAGTAAATTTTAAAGACAATTTATATTTATTTTGCAGAATTTAACAAAGCATTCTTTAACAGCACATTGTTTAAGCACTACATCCTAGCTTTAAAGTAGAATTGAATATGCCATGTATGTTTGCAGAAAGCTGAGCTGATATGTTCCACAGGTTCAGCTGGCGAAAGTGACATGAATTCTGATTCCGCCCCCCCTGAATTTAGAAAAAACAAACCCTGACATTTTGCAAATGGATTGATAGTAGAAGACAGGACCCCCTGGTGTTGTGTGCTATGGTCCATGAGGTTGCAAAGAGTCAGAGACAACTTTGGAACTGAGCAATAAAAATCCTGATAATTAGCTAGATTTGTATAAAATTGCACATTAAAAGCATTTCAATATTAAATATTTTATTCACTAGAAATGCTTTCCTGATTTCCAGAGGAATGATGCTTATATGTTGTTGTAAAAGCAAAAAGGCTTGCAATACCTTAAGAGTAGCACACTTATGTCTTAATTTTGTAAATTATGATCCTTTCATTATAAGTTTAGACCAAAGGAAAGATATTTTTATGGTGTGTTTGTGTATGTGTAGATGAACAGAAAAAAGAAATTATGAAATAGTAAAATGATGCACCAGCGTTAATGACAATAAAACTGTAATTAGATATGGTAGATTGGCTAGGCTTGCTCAACCCATTAATACAGTAAGGATATCCTTGAAATGAGCTTGAGGTTTGGTGAATACTAGAGAACTTGTATCTTTTTGGGTCACTGTTTCAGAGATACTTCTATATCTAAACAGAAACAAAATGACCAAGAGTGGGTAATAAAGCAGTGGGAATAGCAGTGACTTCCAACTTCCTTCAGGCTTCCCAGCTGAATTTCCTTAGGAGAATCTGGCAGGCAGCATTGGAAATCTCCCCATTTCAGCAAGCAAGAAGTGTTTACTTTTGAGTGTAGATGGGAGTGAGGAATTGCAAGACTGTCTGGGTAACTATCATGGAACTGAAGCAATGGCAGAATTCAAGAACGCAGCAGCACTGAAGCAGCCACAACTCCAAATGTCATTCTCTCAGAAGTCATGGGTCTCGGATTATGGACACATTCTGTAATTTAGCCCATTTGAAGGTACTTTGCTTCAAAAATCATTGCTCTTCTGATGTACCATTTCACCCAATGATGGGTCATGACAATCAGAATTTTAGTAGTATATAGATTTGGACATATCCACAAAGATTTTTTGATAACAATATTGTGGTTTGCCGCTGTCTCCTGGATTGGCTTTAAAAAAAAAAACTTCCCAATCTACTGTAGTCCTGAGAAGTAATACTATTTTTCCATCAATGTACAACATGGTCTGATCCTGCTTAGTCTCTCCCCACATCAACTACACTGTCACTTAAGTGCTGTCATTTAGCTAAAGTGTAACATACAACTGAGCAATTTGTAGTTTGGTTTATTGTTGGAACCCAGTCATCTTGTTTGCAGACAAAATATGAAGTGTTTATTTGAATGCAGCACACTGTGTAACATTAATCTGGAGTTATGCTTTAGTAATTGTGTGAGTCCAACCACATTTTTGCAATGATGAGCTGGTTAACATACATGGTGTGGAAAGAACTCTTAATCATAACGGTTTGGACAGAACTGGAACCAGGTCCTTGGTTCACGTTTAACCTTAACCCTACCTCATAACCAAAAGCACAATCAGAATAGAACAGAATAACAGAGTCGGAAGGAACCTTGTAGGTCATCTAGTCCAACCTCCTGCCCAAGCACGAGACTCTACTTGTACCATTACTGACAGATGGCAGTCCAGTCTCTTCTTGAAAGCTTCCAGTGATGAAGCTCCCACAACTTCCACTGGTTGATTTGTTCTGTCAGAAAATGTCTCCTTGCTCAGTTTCCACCATTATTCCTTGTCTGGCCTTCAAGTGCTTTGGAAAATATCGTCAATCTCAAGGATACGCCCATTTGGAAAAGAGGAAAAGTTTTATCTCTCAGATTATGCCTAGTTTTATCTCTCAGATTAGAAAGAGTCCACGTTTCCTTTTCTAACTGGGAACCTTCCCCTTGCGTTTTCCAACGTTTACAGCAAAAGTCACCGGTCGCTGAGAGTTTTACTTCACAAGACCACCTCTCTGCTCTTCTTGCGCCTCCCAAACGCGGCGACAGTGAGAGCAGGCTGGTCCGCCTTCTTTGCGCGGAAAGGCCGGCCAGCCGTTTCCCGCCGCCTCGCTGGAATTCAGGCGGGAGAAGAGTCGAGGCGCCCGCGATGTCTGGAGCGCGGAGACGGGGCGCGGGGCACTCCCTGGCGGGCTTCAGGCGGGGAGCAGGGCAGGGTGAAGCCAACGCGGCCGCTATTCCCCAGGGCTTGCTTCGGGCGGCTAGAAAGAGCGGCCACTTAAATCTGTCCGGCCGGGAGTTGACCGAAGGTGAGCAGGGCCGGAGCCTAGTTATCCCACCCAAAAGAGCGAAGGTAGATTTAGTTTACGCCTTCTTAAAGAAGGACGGCCTGCCCTTTGTTCCCAAGCCGGAAGGGCGGGAATTCAGCACCCCAGCCTGGGGGGGGAGAGACAAAGGGGTCTTTTTCTACCCGATCCTTCGGCTCGGAGTAGGAGGGGATTTTGCATTGTTATGCATCATTCACGGTCTCGTTTGTGCCACCGGGATTTTTCCAGCCGCAGAAGAAAACCGTTTGCCTGTATTGCCTTTATTTTGTTTTCTTGACTTGCTATGTCCTATGGGTTTTGTGCATTTCTAGTTGTTCCGGGAACAAAAAAGAAAAGAAAAGCAGGTGTTGGTTAAGACGAATTAAAAACTCCTCCTGCAATTCTTGAGCCAGCCTGCTGGGGCAATATATATAAAGCCTGATTGCATTAGTCAGCGTTATATCGCCCCAGCAGCATTTATATTGCATCGCAGCTGAAGAAGCTTCTTGGATGAGAAGCGAAAGGTCTCCAAAGAAAAACCAGGAAGTCCAGTTGCCTCTTTAAAAAGGCCAGTTTTGGAAACTACTGCGTTAGTGAATTCTTGGGTTTATCTTCCTGGCCTTACAAACCAGTTTTAGAGAGCATGGTTCAGCATCTCATTACCAGACTCCAGTTTTTCCTCTTCTCCATAAGAGGAAAATAAGTTGTGCCATAAGAGACGCTGCTGTCCTATGCCTCATTTATACCCATGCAGACTCAGTGGTTCAATTTTGGTTGCAGTCAGCATTCCCCTTAGCCAAAGGGTACCGTCCTCTGTAGTCTGGGCTGTAGGAGAATGAATATAGGTAGTCCTCGACTTAACCACAATTTTTCACCCCAAAATTTCCATTGCTAAGTAAGATAATTATTATGTGAGTTTTGTGCCATTTTACAACCTTTCTTGCCACAGTTGTGACATGAATCACTGCAATTCCTAATTTAGTAACAGGGTTGTTAAGTCAATCTGGCTTCCCCATTGACTTTGCTTCAAAAGGTTGCAAAAAGTGATCACGTTGATCCCAAGACACTGCTGTTGCCATAAATACATGCCAGTTGCCAAGCTTCTGAATTTTGATGATGTGACCATGGGGATGCTGCAAAGGTCATAAGTGTGAAAAACGATCACAAGTCACTTTTTTCACTTGCCACTATAACTTC